AACTGATAATTAATTCTCTTTCGGATACTGAAGACGAAACCTGTCAAGAGGAAGAAACTTTTTAGTTTATTATATATTTTTCCGTCTGGCACAGCCAAATGAAATACATTTATATATTATAAGTACTATATCATTATTTTTTAAGTTTTTGTAAAATAATAAATCTTTGTATCACTAAAAATGGTGTGTTATTTTCCAACCTAAACGGCCAATATCAGGTAAAATTACTTTTTGCCTATCAAAAACGTCACTGTCAATATTTTTTTTTTGGAAAATCACACTTCAGTGGAAAATTTGATTAATGTCCATGGTAAAAACTACTACTTTAAAAGATATACCAACAAAAGAAACAATCGAATAGCATAAATTTAAGAAAAAAGAACTCAAAATAATTAACAATTTTTAAGTTGTCATTTCCCACACTTTAGCAATTCCGACACTGGCCCTTTTAGAACCAAGCCACAGATATAAAATTAAACTCCCTACACTTTGTTTTGCCAAGATACAGCTCCTGTCGTTGCAAAATATTGAGCGTAAGAATGTCTAATTATTTTTCCATCCTGTGCTGGCTTTCTTGAAACATTTTGTAACGGCAGAAAAGAAGTCATGATTTGTTCATCTCTCCAAGTGCCGGGAATAAACAAGCTTTCATCTTCAGAATCGAGACACTCAGTGGCATATACCTTGATTTAGATATTCGACTTATGCGTAAAAAGTTATGAAGTAAAACACAAGTCATCGTAATTTCAGTTACCCGCGGAGTTTCAAGTAATATCGGCTTCCTAAAAATTCTGAATACGGATGAAAGTATGCCGAAAACGTTTTCAACAACTCTACGTGCCCGGCACAGCCGATAATTAAATATCCTTTCTTGGATACCTCTGTTGTATACCCTGTGCAGACCACCCTACACCGCGCTCAGGTGCAGTTTGCCTACACCTTGGAATTGGAAGGGAGTGGATGTGCGCGTGTGCGAGATGGAGACTTTCTGGTGACGGTGACCGGCTTGGATGCTTCGTTTTGGTTATCTCGCTTTTGTTTCGTGTAAAACTAAAACCTTGTTTAGTTAAATTAACAATTAATATTAGTTTTAAGAATATAGTTGAGTTTGTTTTGGTGTTCTTTGTTGACTTGTCACGTAAGTACCTGGCCAGGGGTAATATTGTATGTATTTTTGAGGTTATTTTATCATTAAAAGTTGATAACGTTTGCTTGTGTGTAACTGAATGTTGTATCATTTTACCCTTAATCTGAAGAACCTTCTTTTTAATACGTACGTACAACCCCGGGATATGGTTTTAGCATACGAGTTGTTAGAGCAAACGCGTCATTCGCTACAAATTTGTACGGTAAAGGTACGTCTTCGTTGGTCAATGGTTCATCTGCAGGAAGCATTAACTGATCTTTACTAAGTTTATCATAGAAAGACGTGTTTCGAAGCACACCATCATCACTAATGCGACCTTGACATCCAATATTGACGTATGTAAATTCATAGTTAACATTAACCACAGCCATAAGTACTATACTGAAAGTACCTTTGTAATTATAAAATTCTGTTCCACTATGAAGAGGTGACTGAATTATTATGTGTTTTCCGTCTATGGCTCCCAGAAAATTGGGAAAGTTCCATCTATTCTTAAATTCTTCGGCAATCTTACGCCAGTCGTTTGCAGTTTCGGGTAGCTGAAACTAAAAAACAAATTATAAGAAATACTTTTTTTGACGAGTAAGGATCTTGGTAAATAAACTTTTTGTCATTGAAAATGTATTCCATAGCCTGTATAGATCTATTTAAATTTGGAATGAACTATACCCTCTGTGGCCATAGTGTCTAATATGAATTCCTATTATTTCAGATGTTACAAGACGAAGAACGTAAAGAAGACAACGAGAATGCTGACGGAAAAGAGAAGAAGTAACTGTCACTGAAGAAATTGCAAATGGAAGCCAATTTAAATATCCTAAAGCAAATAGCGTAAAAAGAAAAAAATTACCTGCCACCAGATATTGACCAAAAGATATACGAAGCTTATAAGGCCTTTCAAAATGTTATAGACACACAGATGTCTCTAGATCAGTGTTCCTTGTACGAAGAATTCCTTGCTACAAAACTGAGGGCCCTTGATGCAGATATTAGAGAAATGGCAATCATTGAGATTGAGTTGTTAGTTTATCATTTAAAACACAGATACAATGAAAGAACTAAACAGCATTTTGGCCACGTAAATATTCAAAACGTTTCAATTCAGTCAAGAGCTTCTTTTCCTCATAACTCCAATCAATATCAGCAAGTTAATTTTGGACCGGTTGTTCAACACATGTTAAGCAGACCTTTGTAATCAGCTTCATAACACCACTCATTGCTTTCAAACCATTATTCTTTTACTTCAAATTCATCACATTCACCTCTTGCGCCGATATTGTCTGAACAACGTCTTCCAACCACATTACCCTCGGCAGCCCAACAAGTTCACATTCAACCAACCCTATTGCCCTTGACGTCACCATCTGCTGCGAATTACTCCCAAAATTTTTTTCAAAACCAGTACTGCACTTGGGAATATATTCAGAAGTTTCTAATATCCCAGCCAGCTTTAAAACAACATGTCGTGGAACTCTAAAAAAAATGACTTTTTTAAAGCCTTACCAAAATTGATAAATTCAATAGGTTTATGAGGCAATCATAAAAAGTGTATTTTTTTAAAGTATTGATTGGCAAACAAAAGTCTGGGTATACCCCACCAATCTTGATGACATTGGTGTATATGCAACCCGTATGACGCATTGGGTGTTGCGTTTTAATGGTTTTATAACTTGTAAGAAGGTTCAATTTCAATTTACCCAGTTGAGGTTAAGTTACTTGACTTGATTTTTTCCTGTTTTTCTTTTAATATTTATTTTGTATAGTAAAAGTGATAGAAAAAGTCATCTCTCATTAAAAATGGCGAATGCCGAAAAAGTTATTCGACAGTATCCAATTTGAGGGCTCATGTGATAAAAAAACACCCGAGTAAGCATTGAAAATGTATGCACACAGTATTTAACTATTTGTACTACTTATTTTATTTTAGATAAAATAAATGAATTAGCAAAAGCTATTAATTTGTAATAGCATATGTATCTCAATTACTAAGTTGGTAAGAATAACCCTGCTCCTATTTTTACTGAACTGTGCAAGAATACCTAAGTGCAGAAGTTTACTCATGTGTGTAGGATTAAAACAAAAAATCAAGTTTTACCAATATAATTTTAACCTTGGCATAATTTGCTTATACAAATTGATTTGAAATTGCAAGTATGAGTGGTTGGGACAGGTATGATAGGTTAAAAAAAAACTTGTTAAATAAATAATAAAGACAATTATTATATACCTAAAGTGCACTCTAAATTCATCATCGTCATCGTCGATTCGCTATATAACTCATTTTTCGGTAATTGCTTTAAAAGTTCAGCTTCAATTAACAAAACAATATTATGTTCATTATCATCGTCATCAGACGAAGACGAACTTAAGAACCCCAAATCGAATTGACTCATTTCGCTACTGGAGATTTCAAAAAAAAAAAAAACGTCAAAGATATTACAGCAGAGAACAAAATATTGCCACAAAAGACGCTTATCAAACGCTTAAGAGGATGATTTACATTTCGTTTTGGGTAAAATTCCTTGCGATCCTGGCACGCATCCTATAAGTTTAGTATTATCTTTTTTGGTAAACAAAAAATATTTTTTAGTCTAGTATACTTGTATCTATGTTAGTCTGGGAGAGGAATTTCTAATTTTTGAATACTTTTTTGGAAAAAAAATCCTAAAATTTCGAAATTTCAGTATTCAGATATTTTTTTATTTAAACAAAATTAAATTTCATAAAAGTACTTCCAGAGGAACACAGTTTCATCCTTCCTTTGCATTATCGTATTTTTTATATTATTGAATAGTTTAAAATAAAGTCGTAGGATGGGGGCTCATATATCTCTGCAAATCGAAATTTTGCACTGGAAAGTGCTGCCTCTGGTAAAATTGCTAGAACTATAGATTTGTGAATGAAAATAATGTTTAATTTCCGTCGTTAACAGTATATTTTACGAGGGTTGATAAAGATTTAGTACTAAAATTTGTTTTCATGAATTATATTTATTTGTTATCTATATAAATAAAATATCTATGATAAATTTAGCAAATCATACGATATTCTTAAGTTAATTAATAATAAAACGTACAAAATAATTAGCACGCAATGATTAGCTTAAGCCTATTTGGGTACTTAATTATGATTTTCAGAAATTGTTCGTTTTGCCAGCTCAAAATATCACTAGACATTTTAAGGAGGTCTTTTCGCCACCAATGTTAAATAAAAAATATTAGATTATGACTAAAATTAATTTTTTTCTAATAGTAGATGTCCTTATTTATCTAATAGTGAACTTTTATACCTTATATATAGGTTACCGTGGAATTTATTGAGAAATTATTATTAAAAAATCACAAAAAATTTTCAACTAGGTTACTTGAAATTTTTTTGTGATTTTTTAATATTAATTTCTCAATAAGTTCCACGGTTAACTATATATATTTTATTGTATAAAACAAAATCTAAATATTTCAAAAACCTTATTTTTATTTTTTTTTATACTCCATCTAATCAATAAATAATAGTATAATTCGAGAATTGTTGTTGAAGACTTACTTTCTCGTGAGGCACTGTACAAATACTCACATTTTAAAAAAAAATTCTCAAAAATTTGCAAGGTAAGGTATAGTTAAAAGTTCAGTATTAGATAAATAAGGACTTAAAAAATTAATTTTAGGCATAATCTAATAACTTTTTTTTTAACATTTGAGGCGAGAGGTGTGGCGAAAGGTACTGTAATATTATATCAACGCTCTCTTGGAGACCAGTTTGACTGCATTGCATAGAATATTTTTTGTGACGTCACCCAACCCATTATTACAGCCGCTATGTGACGGTAGCGCTTTATAGGAAACTATTACGAAAAATGTGCACTTGTTGGCTGCAGTGTTGTTCTTTGCTGCACAATCGTGCCAAAAGTGGCAGCCTTTACAGTAAGTATGCACCGCGGCACCTCTCCCTATAAAGTGGCACTATTTGTTTTTTTCCAAAAATCTTGCCGGCTTGCCGAAATTCGCTTGAACAAAAAAATAAAGCAAAAAAACAAACATACCAACACAAATCTATCAATATTAAATTTTGGATTTAAAGATTTTGTATTATAAGTTGCCTATCCGACGTTTTACGGGCGACGCGCAAGACTCTGTTTTCATCGACGGTCGCTCAAAGTATAGACACAAGGAGTCCGAACGGTATAAAGCTTCATACTCACTTAGGCGAATTTCGCGGATTTTTAACAGACAATTATTTTTTCGCACATTCGCTTATTTTGTCCATACTCACTAACGCGAAATTCGCCTACGCGAAAATGCGAATAAATCGCAAAAAAGTTGAAATGATTTTAAGTATCTTGCGAATTTCTGACATTGCTGTCATTCATAGTATCAATTTGTTGTGCACTTTTTAAATTTCTAGTTATACCCGTAAAATTGATTCTAGACTTTAAAAAAGTGTTGTGGTCGATACTTATAACAAATAAGAAAATGGAATTTAACGAATTGGATGGTAATACCCAAGTAATTTAAAAGATATCATAAAAAGTTTCAACAAATAATAATTTTTGGTGTGTTGAAGATTTACTGTGATATTTGTAACGAAACGGTCACAATCAACGCCCTGTGTCAACATTTCCAGGTACAGGAGAAGCCAGAAGATTTGGAAGAGTGGTAACTAACCAAATTTTGATAGCCCCAAGCTGCTTTATCTTAACTCGCCTAAGCATGATTTGTTTCATTTTTTGAGTTAGGATAGTTTCGCAGGAAGCATTCGAGATAAATCGTGCTCCGTGCTCAGACTAGTTAAACTAAAGCAGCTCGGGGGCATCGATTTATTAACCGTACTTCTTCGAGCGGACCTGAAATAAATTATTATTATGTCATTCCAGTTCAGATGCACCAAAGGAATATGGCAGCTTCGAAGAAAACTTAATATCCACAATACAGGCACACCCTATTTTGTGGGATCCCACAATAGATATCAAATTAAAATCAAAATCTGCCAAAGATAAAGCTTGGCTTGAAATTTTTAACTTATTTAATGGTAAGTAGTATGCTTTAATAATTCAATACATAAATTACGAGGTATGCAATTTTTGAGGAATAAATAATTCACAAAAGTTTAAATTTTTGAAGAATACCTATATGATAGATAAATAAATGTGAAGGAATGTTATTTTTTTAGAAAAATACTCCATCGAAATTATTAAAAAAAAATGGAAAAATTTAAAGGATACGTACATAAAAACCAAAAATTATATGGAATCATATGTTCCTAGTGGTTCTGGAGCGATAAAAAAAAAAAGAAGCCCTGGAAGTTTTTCGATTCAATGAAGTTTTTATCTGACCAACAACCAAAAAGATCGTAAGTGACATAATACACTTTACGTAGTAATTAAATTACTGCTGCAAATTATTCTCATATTTGTAGATTTTCGTTAGAGGGTCGTAGAAAAAATATCTTGTACAACAAGAGTTAATTTTCCATATTGCACTCAGACGATTATGCACTCAGCCTATGATGTCGTGCTCAAACTTCGTCGTCGCGTGATATGGCCATCATATCCACTCTTGTTGCACACACTACTATTTTCTGAAGAGTTACAAACAACTACCTTTATGTAACATTATAATTCATAAAACGTTTGTTATTTGTAGTACTGTGACTAATTTAATACCAGCCCCACGGTCATCTGCTCCTACCCTGTCAGATGAAAGCCAGTCTACAAGTTCTTCTGGAGGTAATGAACTAAGAACAAGTACAAACAGTTTGTTTTTAGGATTGTTGATTTGTTTCTTCCCTTGTGAAGCAATCTAATTTACAATAATTTGTCCCTTGTTAAACGAAAATGTGATCCCGTGGAAAGTGCGATTTTGGACGCAATCAAACAAGTTCCTACCCCACCTCAGTTTTCATCTGAAAGACCAATCAATCCAATATGTATTAGGATTTCAGAAATGCTAGAGGAGCTGTCCGGGAGGAAGTAAGTAGAGGCGGAACTTAAATTACTGCAAACAATGTTTGACATTACATATAAAACAAATTAATTTAGTACGTATATTTTTTTAACTTTGCTCCAAATATTGTTTCTACTTAATTATAAGTTGTAAATAAGTTATAACTTTGTGTTAAAGATAAATATAAACAATTTTTTTACAAACTGTGTAGATATTTTATTTTTAAAACCCCAGTCAGCAGTCGGGTAATCCTGTGTTTGTTTACCATGTGTAAGATGGATGAATGTATGGACGAATGGATGGATGGTATTTTGACAAATAAATAATAAGTAAATAGATTTTCAATTATTTCTCTTATAAAAAAGGTCTTTAAAATATGTCAATTATTTTATTTTTATTTGTTACAATTACCATAAATGTGCTTTTTACTTTTATTACATATTACAAAGACATAAAGAAACATGAAGATTTGTATTACCTAACTTAATAAATTTGAGAAAGTATTTACTTATCCCACTGAAATGGAATAGCTCCTTCTAGGAAAAAGTAATTTGTTAACTGGTCTCTTATGTAGGCAGCATTTTTTGTTGTATTGTTGGTTCCTGCCCTATGCAGGGGTTCCAAATTCTGGAAGCCTGCTTCCTGTCTCCATAGTCCATTTGTCATGTTTCCATCGTTATCCTCCTGATCAACATAAGATGGTGGACAATACAGGTGCTTTGATTCAATGGTGTTCATTATAAAATTATGAAGAGATACAGTGGCTTGAATAATTTTTTGTGCAGTATCTAATGAACATATAATTGGCTTTCTAAAAATTCGCCATCTTGCAACAAGAATACCGAAGCAATTTTCAATAACCCTTCTTGTTCTACTTAATCTGTAAAAAAAACAAATATAAGTTTGGATCATTTAGGTTCTCAGATATAGTCAAAAAGCGTATTTGATGAACAAAAAAAAAGTGTTCTGTGTGCACTTACAGTATACCTACCTAATGTATTATTATTTACCTATAATTGAAGATTCTTTTAGTCTGGGTTAAAAAATGTCCTGGGTATGGGCGCATTATGTTCTTTGTCAAAGGAAATGCTTCATCAGCAACTATAAAGTATGGAAGGCTATCATCACAATCATCAATCTTTTTATCAGGTGGAAAGTTTAATTCATTTCTTTGTATCGCTTTTCCAATCTCTGAGTTCCTAAGCACACCTCCGTCGCTCTGCCTTCCTTGGGCCCCAATGTCTACTAATGTAAATTTGTATTTGTGGTCACATATTGCTAATAAAATTAGACTATTAGATTTCTTGTAATTAAAAAACTGGGATCCAGCTTTTGGTGGGGCCTAAAATAATGAATTAAAATAATAACAGCAATAAAAATGCTTTAATAAAAAATATAAATGGCACAATTGCTTGACTTTGCAACAAACGGCACCTGAATAATAACATGTTTGCCATCTAATGCTCCTAAACAGTTAGGCATATTCCATGTATGAAAAAATCCTTGCGATATTTCTTTCCATTTTTCTTCGTTGGGCAGTTTTAAAACATCATCCTTTAGGTTATTCCAAATTGCTTCACAACATTCGTTGATTATACTAGACACTGTTGAGTTTCCAACTCGAAACGCATAGGATATAGACACCATGCTGTCACCTGACGCTAAATATCTCAATGTTAACGATAGCCTTTCAGCAGGGAAGATAGTTTCTCTACGATAATCATTTTTAGATATTGAGGGACCTATTTTGTGTAAAAGCAATTCAAACTGAGTTGGAGTCATTCTTAGGTAATCAAAATATTTATTTGTATCAGTCAAGCGCATCTCCTTTAACAAATTGTTGAAATCTCCTTGTGCTTTTCTTTGCAAAAAAATGTCCCGTACCCACTTTTTTTTTCTCAGTCGCCTCTTGGCTGGTCTTATACGGTTTTTATTAAAGATATGAATACAAAACATTATATAATAATACCTTCGTAAATAATTGTTGTAATAACAAGCATTCATGACGTTTATTTTCTTTTTATAATAATTGCAATTGCAAACACAAAAAACATTCAAAATTGATAGATCACAATAATAATGACTTATAACAGATGACGCGTTATCTTTGCCAGGAGTATTCAGTTAGCCTTGACATTTAATATGGAGAGGTATACAATTGAGCAACGTGTCGAAATCGTCAAAATTTATTACCAAAACTAATGTTCTGTTCGGCAAACGTTCCGCAACTTCGTCAAGTTTATGGTGTCCATGATCGTCCTACCGAGTCCTCAATTCGCCGTTTAATACAGAAATTTGAAGAAAGTGGTTCAGTGGCAGATCGACCAATGCCTGTACGCCAACGAAGAGTGAGATCCGTTGAAAATATTGCTGCCGTTCGGGAAAGTGTGCATGAGAATCCGAGACAGTCTATTCCGCGTCGTGCTCAAGAGCTTGGACTTTCGCGGATGTCAACCTGGCGAATTCTGCATTATGACTTACACCTTCACCCATATAAGGTGTAATTGACTCAGGAATTAAAGTCCAATGATCATAGACTGCGGCGTGAATTCGCTAACTGGGTGCTAGAACACTTGGAGGGTGACCATGATTTTGGGAAAAAAATAATCTTTAGTGACGAGGCGCATTTCTGTTTGAGTGGCTTCGTTAACAAGCAGAACTGCAGAATTTGGAGCGACGAAAACCTGCAAGAGATTCACCAAGTGCCACTACATTCCGCAAAAGTAACCGTATGGTGTGCATTATGGTCCGGCGGAATAATCGGTCCTTATTTTTTCGAAAATGAAGAAGGAGTTGCACTTACTGTCGACGGTGAGCGATATAGAGCTATGATAAGAACATTTTTGTGGCCTATAGTGGATGGTATGAACCTGAGAAACACGTGGTTCCAACAAGATAGAGCAACCTGCCATACTGCACATGCTAGAGTTGCATTATTGCATGAGCAGTTCGAGGGGTCTGTTATATCGCGAAATGGCGACGTTAACTGGCTGCCCAGATCATGCGATTTAACTTCGCTGGATTTTTTTCTCTGGGGTTTCCTTAAATCTCCTGTCTATTCCGATAAACCACGAACTGTGGACGCCCTTAAAGCCAACATCAGACGCGAAATTGCTGCGATCAAGCCACATCTGTGTAATGAGGTTATCGAAAACTGGACTCGCAGAATTCGACTCACCAGGGAAAGCCGCGGCGGACATTTAAGTGACATAATTTTTAAAACATAATGTCACCATATATGTTTTAAAATAAATATTAAATTATATTCGTTTTATTGAAACTTTTTATTTTATTACACTTTGAAGTTGGAGCGTTCTTATTGGGAAACCCTTTATTACGCTATAATTTAAAATGAAAAAAATTATGCCTATATCTTTCAATAAAATACCTACTTCAGATCACTGATGCTTACATAAAATTGGTATATTGTTCATAATAAAATTATTTATTTTTGTGTTAGGTTGAATGTGCAGAATGTGGCGCGGTTTTTGATGTGCAGGATCATCAATATCATGAGTGCGACATAGCAGCAACCAGCGAATAAAAAATTTACACTGCCACCCAAAAAACATCCGAAGAGACTAATGTGGCTAAATTTGCGGAAGTCATCCAGGCACGCCCTGCTCTTTGGGACCATACCTTGCCTCTCAAGGAAAGAGGCAAAGATATTAGGGAACATTTTTGGAGGGAGGTATATGACGAGATGAATGGGTTGATACCCCTAAATCAAATTGAGAAAAAATGGAAGAACCATAAGGATACTTTCCTTAAACATTTAAAGTAAGTATACAATTAACTGGATTTAAGCAAACGGAGCTAAGTAATTCAGGTAATTATTGAATATTAACTTTTTTAGAACATAAAAGCCATCAGGAGCAGGGGCTGACGAGAAAAAGAAATGGAAGCCTACGACAGTCTCAGTTTTTTAACTGACATTAATTTAAATCGAATAACATTTGGTAATTTTGGACCAGTGGAATCAGCTGTGGATGTGGATCTTTTGTCGCCAACATCGAGCACCATTGATGCCAGTACAGGAAGTTCTCAACAAGTTGCCAGAAAATGTTAGGATGAATGCAGAAATTGAGACATTAAACAAGGTGTATCAGCTACATGCTGAAAACCAAGTACAATAGATTTCTTTAATAAAATCATTTTTTTGCTAATTATATTTTATTAATCACCAACAATAAAAAAATCTAATTATGGAGTATAGAGAAAGTAAGAACTATCTCTGTTTACAAAAGTGTCTCTCAAAATGTCAGATATGGTCACCCTAGTGTATATGTCAGAGAAAAAAAAAACAAACATTGATACTTAATGCAATTTATTGTGAAAAATCCGCAATTTCAATTACACCTAGCAAGAAGAAATTG